CACTCCTGGCCATTACCCGTTTCCTAATGACTCACAGATTGAACTCTGGCCATAACTGCTTCGTGGGGCTGTACTTCTGCGATTCGAATGGCCCGGGACAGGTTCAATTTATGCGTTTTGCTGTCATTTGTTTTGCTTGACCACACGCCTCGCTTATGGCTTAAGCTCTTTCGGATTTCGGTCCACAAATTTATGCCCCATCACTTTGGCCCCAGCCCGGACTCGTTTCCTGCTCTGGCCGGTGGTGCTGCTGGTTAGGCTCTTTGTGCTCTTCCGTTGCCAAATCCCCTAAAACCTCAAAAAAGGGAAAAACTTGCCCCTGCTAACCGGCCGGCTGTGGATCATTCATTTATTTTGCAGGAATTGCCGGCAGCGTTTGACTTTGGCTCTGCTTTAAACTGCTCTCGACCTTTGTCAAAAGTTTTGAGGCCGAAAAACTTTGTGGCGAAAATCAAACTGTGGATAATGATGAATGCGGCCAGGCACTTTGTGGACTAATGCTTCTCGGTTCCTGGGTTATGGCTCCTGGTTCCCGGCATGTGGGCCTGAATAATTAACGCATTGCCGCTCGCCGCTCCTTTCTGTCATTGGACGTTGAATTTACATTTCGTTGGCGAATTTTTCTCTCTGTTCGCCGTAGAATTTATGGATTTTCGCGAAATTTATTTCGGGTTGTGTCCGTGATTAGGGTTGAAAGGAGATTTATGCTGCAGTTGCTTCCTGCTGTGAGCAGAGCGGCCTTATTAAGGCTCATTAAGGCCGCCTCTGGATTAAGTTCAAAAGGAGAGGTGGAGGGTGAGACTCTGGCAAATAAAATATAAATGTCATCAGTTTGGCTTTAACAGCAAGAGGAAAACTCATAAATTCTGTGAAAAATGGCAAATCGATTCCCGCTCTTTTTTTGCGGTCATTGTTATTACAAAACTGTCAGGGTCCCCGGCCAAGTGGAAGGCAAATGCATGAGCTCTCAGCTCCTCCGAGTCCCAAATCCCTTTTGATAAAGTGCCTTCCGTCCTCACTGCTCGACTTCAAGTGTCGCATTATGTCCGTTTCAAGGCGATGGGCGATGGCTTCGCAGTCTCCCCAGCTTCGCAGACTCCCCAGTTTCCAGCTCAGTTCGTTTTAGTGGCGGATTTGGCAATAAGAGGCGACCAGATTTATGCAGCTGCTTTCATGCGTAATTATTTGCTGACATCTTAATAGTTTTTCCAAGTCTCTTTAGCCGCTTTGACGTTTATTTGCTCAAAATTTTACAGCTGAAAATAGCTGACAATCGGCTTTGGTTGCTTGGCTTTTCCGGCAGCAGAGCCATTTTTTCTAAAGCCCTCTCTCTTTTCTTCATAAATATTTTAGATCCCACACTTAGGCATAATTGTTTTGCGGAAGCTTGTTTTTTATTTGCTTGCTGTGATCCAGCATCTGGCATCTGTCACCCACACACACGCATCCCCGAGCTAGAAGCCCGGCTCACATATTTATTGGAGGCTCTTAATGGGCCCCCGTTTAACGACATTGCCAGGAGCACCATAAATAATACAAATAATAGAAAACGGCGAAATATAAAATTCCCTTCCCCGCTCGGTCTGCTCTTGGTGGGGCTTCCTCTGTGTGTTTCTGTGACAATTTGTCGTGTGAGCAACTTTTTTTGATAGGCCAGAGAGAGGAGTGTATTGCCCGCCGATAAACCTGGCTTCCTGTACTTCTTTCTGTCTGTTGTTTCCTGTTAGAGCTCCATCTCATGCTCCTCCAGGCGGGGCCCCAAAAACAAGCTTAAGTCCTTGTTGTCCTTGGCAAGGCGACGCCACCTTGGGGCTTTTAAGTTTGACGCTCGTTTATAGACTTTGCACACTTTGCATTTACTTTACGGCGCCGCTGATGCGGCTGATAATAAGACCACGCGGCGTATGCGCAATGGCAAGGCCCGAAAACACCACACAACCAACAGCGAACCAACAGCAGAAGCGGCAAAAACAATGAAATCAACGAAAAGTTGGCCAAAGTTTTTACAGCCCGATACACACACGCCTCTGAGACACCTATCCGGGAATCCAGGATCCAAAGATGCCAGCCTCCTTGGCGGATTCCGCCTGCGGCCACTCGAGCCCTGCTTTTGTTTCGCCGAAGCTTGTTTTATAACTTTTTGATTGTCTTTGCGCCAAATTTGTGTGCAAAATTGTTCCTGGTCCCGGCCAAGGCGCTCTCTCACCTGCGAACTGTGCGCCTGCCATGTATAATATTTGGCTTAATCTGATTTCTGCCACTCAAGTTAACTTCGACAGCACGGCTGGCGGGTCAAAAGTTGGCCTGTGGCTGAGCAACAATTTATAGAGCGTTTACAATATTTATTTCGATTGGCCAGGCGCGCACCGAACTTTTGCCTTCATTATTTGGTTTATTTCCGTATTCATTTCTTTGCCCTCTTTTTTCCCAGAGAGTGAGTGAGTCCATTAAAGTGCAATGCCAGGCTGGGAAAGTTTCATTAGATATGCCAAAAGCGTCTTGGCCCAAGTCAGAGCCAGCCAGCGGGGGGGAAGGAAGCAGCTGGATGGCTTTGTCAAAGTCGTCACATGTCATATGGCAGACAGGCAGAAGGCAGCCCAGCAGCCCGGCAGCAGGACCAGCCAGCAGTCAGGCAGGCAGTCAGTCAGTTAGTCTACTGCAGGCTACAGGCGTCCGTCTTCCTGCCTCCCAGCATCCTGCTTCGCATCTGTCGTTGGCTGTCGTCGGCGTGATGTGTGTACACTGGGCACAGCCACAGCCACATCTACATCTATATCCACAGGCACAGTCACATCCACAGCCACGTCTCCATTCACAGTCTTCTCCTGCCCCTCGCCCACATTTACATCTTCAGTTGGCCCGGGGACAGCAGTGCCATTGAGGTTGCACTGAGTGCTCAGCCGCTGAGGGCGCTCTTGCAATTATTACATTTGTATGGACATGTGGCCACATTAAGTATACGACGCGAAGGCCAGCTAGAACCTCGAGCTGTTGCCGCCTCGTGGCTCAAGTGGCCTGCCACAATATTTATTCAAATTTAAGTGTAGCTGCACTAGCTGACGCCGCCGTCTGTTTAGTTAGTCAAATTGATTTATGTTTTGCTTTAATTTACAAAATTAAATCCACCATCAAGGGCAGGGCAAACAGCATTGCGCCGTCAGGATAACTCCTTTGTGGCTGTGAGCGAGTATGCCCGTCACGTGCGCCTTTTGTTGCCTCCGCAAATAAGTGCTCGACGGGCTCGACAGGCTTGCCAACTCAATTAAGCTGTCAAGCGAGCGGCTGCTGAGTGGGCCACCTAATGAACTCCACTTGGATCCGCCATTAAGCCGAACCAGGAACCACGAACCAAGAGCCACTCACCACTTACCACTCCCCCACATAAATAATTCAATCACAACAATTTCAGCACGGAAAATCAATAATAATCGCATCAAGTGTCTGAAGTCCGGGGGCAGTTTCCATTACAGCGGCGTAGCGGTGTGTTTAAATTCTCAAGGACCACACACACACACACACACTCGGGTTGCTAATCTGTGGGTCTGCTCTCCTCACCATAAAGATTCATTTCGTTTAATGACTTGAAATTGATTTCGCTGTGGCATCGCCTCATTTTATATCGAAGACTCCAGGACTTCACTCCGTCTGGGTAATTGCGAAAACGTGCTTTACGACGGGATGATCTTCGCTTCTCCCTCTTGGTGGAGGTTCCTACTTCTACTCCTGCATCGAATCCCGGCTCCTTGGCGTATTAATTTTTCAGCAATTACGTTGCCAGCGACAACATGTAATAGATATAGCCGAGGAGCCACCGCGTCGTTGTGTTTTACGAGCTGCTCATTGGATTTTTGATTAACTTTCGCCCCCGCAAATGAAGCTGTAATGAAATTTAATTTAGCAGCATACTTCAGGCCCTTATTGGTTCGTTAATCAAATGAAATTGCCAAAAGGCCAAAGGCAATTCCCATTAGCTGTGACATTTGCAATTCATTGAACACGTCAACAAGCTGGCACTGCACATTGCATATTGCACGTTGCATATTACAGGTGCTGTGTTCCAGGACAGTTGCTGATAAGCTAGCAATTTACAATTTATTAAAATTAAAAGCATGCGCTGCCTGTAAACTGCTGGACATGCCCCATTCCCCTGCAACTAAGCCACCTCTGCCCGGCCGGACCAGACCCCGGCGGAATGTTTATGAAGTAAATAATCGAAGCGTGCACAATGAATTATTCATGAGTCTTATGGAAAAGCCAGCAGCCAAAGGTGGCAGGTGCTGAGAATGCGTCCGGCTGCTACCACGCCCCTCGTCGCCTGCCTTGGCCACCGCCTCCCAAAGGGACCTGGGCTACGTGCGTGACACTGGGCTTTCTTTTTCGGAGGTCCAAGAAGGCCTATGCCATGTCGGTATACCTGCGAGCCATTTGCAATTAGCCAAGAGGACTTTTGTTTTGGCCATTTTGCATATATGCAGAAAAGGGTTAAATGGGGGAATTTATAAATAGGTTTTCTAGTGATTTTGGGGGAAGATTTTTGTAAATGCAAGTATACAAGGTTTTACTTATTTTGATTCTTGTATTTATTTGGATTCAGCCGAAAGCCTTTAAGCTAAGCATTGTTTGCCTAAAAGTTGACATTGTTTTCTATAGAATTATCTACACTTGACTGATCATTGATTACAAGAATACACTGGATTATTTTCCTTCTGGATTATTAAATATTAAAAACTTAACTCTTCCCACAAAAGTTATAACTTCAGCTTTCTGACTTTCATATTTTAGTCTGTGAATTGATTCCTAGCAATCACAACAATTCCTATTTATAAACAAAGCTAAAAACCTTATTCCATTTGCCTCTAAAAATCCTTTTGGTGCATCATAGGTTGACCCATTTCCCCCTCGAGAGCTAATTATGAAAAAGGCAATCGAAAAAGTCATCGAAAAGGACAAATGAACTAAGCAAACATGGCTTTCACTGGACACTCTGTGTGAGTACTTACTTATTGGCTTTGTTTGCTGTAATCCTAAAAGTAAAGCGATTATCCAAAACCTATTCATATTTCCGTATTGGTTGCTAGAGTGGGTTCTAGTCGGGTTTAGCCTTAGATTGGAATCCGGAATGCAAGCACGAAACGTTTTCAAATATCAAATTATATCCAATGTGTGTGGGTGTGTGCAGGCGGCCCTCTGATTATCTTCACAAAAATAAAAAGCAATATTTTTTTAATCGGTGGCTTGTTCGGGGATTTGTTAGGGGGGTTCTACACTCTCGCTTTGGCACCACCTCCCAGGCCCTGCACAACGAATATCGATTGGAGTTTCGAGCGGGGGAGTTACATCTTCTTCACGAACGCGCGCAGCTAATTAACTCGGGCGAATTGCGCGCACTCGCAGATCAGATCGGGATCAGGATCTTCTGCCAGGCAGGTGTCCTGCCCCAGTTTCACTTTCACTCCGGACACTACACTACACAGCAGGTTTCGGTTTCGTTATCGGTTTCGGTTTCGGTTTCCGTTGTGGGACTCGGATTTCGGATTTCGGATTCGGTTTCGGCTTGACAACCACTGAAAACCACTCCGGGGGCTGTTGGCATGCGCGCACTTGTTGTGCTCGTCGCAAGCGTTTATCCTAGACTGAAGTGGACCGAAGGCGACGCCACGCACTGGCTGCCTGGAAAGGATACACCCACACCAGCTCTCGATGTGGGAGTCGAGGCTTTCCAGCAGGATGTCACTCGAGAGAGAGAGAGAGAGCTTTTGCTTGGTGTGCGAGCTTTCCTCTCAGTTATCCGGCCAGTTGTTGCGCCACGGCAACAGTTCCCCGTTCCCTGCCTTGGCCCCAGCCGGTTCCAGTGACCCCTGTTCCTCGCCTGGCCCCCCTCCGGCGAGAGTCCTGCTGAATCAACAGGCTGTCCTGGCCTTTCCACTGCCAGTTTGTTTGCGGGCGGCCAAAGCAGTCGCTTTAAATGCATTAAGTGTGGCCTAGCCGTGGGTTATTCTGCTGACGGCACGTCCGACTTCGCCCCTCGGCCTTGTTTTCCATTTATTTTATTTTATTTTAATTGCCCTAGCAATTGACTGTAATTGGTTTCTGGAAAAATATCACAATTTCGAATTATATTCATAAGTCGATGATTGCATGTCCATCCCCCTTTTGGTGAAATGCGTTTAGTTGGAATCATGTTAAACAACTTGTTTTCGATGTGTTTATAATTACCTGAGCGATTTACTTAAGTGGCTTAAGGATAAATGTTTGTTCCATTTAAGTGTTCTAAAGAATGAAAACAGAGGAAAAGGGGGGTTAAATTCCACTGAATTAACAATTAATCTCTTTTCTAATTTAACAAATTCCAGTGAATTATTAAGTCTTTATATTACTAGTTATTTTCCATAATATTTAAATGAATTTTATACCTGGTTTTAAATTTGCTGATTATCTCAAGTAGATCTTTCCTTTGGGCTATAATACTCTTAGAAGAATCCCTAAGAAAAACTTCTAGACAGCCTCGAATCTATGCATCCTTAGCTCTTGCCCCCTCCAAAACTCTACTCATTCCCTCAAAGATATCCTTGTTGACAGGTGTCCTATTTCGAAGTCGAATCCAACTCCAATTCCGTTCTCAAGAGCCGGAAAAGCTCTTGACAGCCAACGCTGCTGTCACTAGGCCTCCGGACGGTTCGAGTGGCATTTAAGTTTTGATGGAATAAATGAACACGAAATTATTTAGGCTAATTAACCATTTAAGAAGTCCAGACACCGTGGCACACACGCGGATCTCCATCGCCGTCTTGCCTCCATCTCCGGCACGTGTTGAACTTGGTGGCATTTCTCGCGTTTTATGGGATTTCTACTTTTTAAATTAACGACACGGCGGAGCTGAGGCAGAGAGCACCGTCATGGCACATGGCCATAAACTTTTATGTGGAGGATCAGGGCGCAGGACTAGCCATGGGTCCGCATATCCTGCGCATGGTCATTTAATTTTCGCGACGTCCGTCCACTTTTAATTACAAACAATCAAATCAGTTTGTGTTTGTGTTTTTTCCGCCGCGGCTTTTCCATCCTGTGGCAGAGCTCGTCCGGACACGGCCACATCATTGTCATGGCTCCGGCGACAAGGTCCTGCGCTGCGCCACCACCATTTTGCTGTGTGTTTGGACGCGGGCTTTGACTGCCTGCCATCCTGTCATCATTAGTGACCACAACACAAGAGTTGACATTGCGCTAAATGGGCACATTGTGTGTGCTGATGTTAGTGTTTGTGTTTTGCCTTGCCTGACATATTTTGTCTAAGGCATTAAGTCATAAAAAGCTGGGTACTCGCTAATTTGCGAAATTATTTTGCCGGCCTTCACTTATGCCAACTACCAATACCAGCGAGCTGGCCCAGAGATGATATCAGGGCCTGTATCGTTCGGTCAGGGCCAGAACACATTGCAGGGCAAAAACTGCACAAATATCAGTTTGCTGTTATTTTTCCAGTTTGCTTTGAAAATGGAATAAATGCCAAAAACAGCCAAATATTTATTCCTATTGCCGGCTGCCCGTATTTGTTTATGTAAATGTTCAGCGCGTTTTGATGTGCGCATAATTTCTGCAACGTCTGCAATTAAATAGCAACTAAAAATGGTTTTCCGCTTGTAAATATTATAAATTGGTGGCTTTTGGTTTCATTTTCATACAAATTTGGGTCTTTTTCTGGCCAAATCACATTGGCTGAGGTCATAAGGAATTTGCTTCAATAAAAAAAACACCCAAGCAGCAGACCTGGCATGCCCCCAGGCAATTTCCAGGGTTTTAGCCGCAGGAATTGGGGAGACACGCGCTTTGGATTTGGCCAAAAATGCAAGTAAAAGCTCGGCCTTTCGTATGTTTTTTTTTTGGGTTTGGCTTTAGCGCCGTGCAAAAGCAACGGGAACAACAGCAAACAAAGCTCATTTACACGGGAAATAGCCTAAGTGCAAAAACCATTTAAATGCAAATTAAGCACAAAGTGAAAACATGTGAACAAAGCGGCTAACACACACACACACTCACGCAGAGGTGAACGAACAAGAACGCGAACCAACCCAGCCATAGCCCGGTGGTTGGCACGTATTTGGGCCAGGCTCCTGGTTTTGGCTTCCACATTGGCTCCGGTTTCGCAGGAATGCCCCAACTTTGGGCTGCTCTAAATGTAAAATAGTTTAGAGCCGCCAGCGCCACAACAAATTCCTCTGGCCGAGGACAAAGGGGACAAGGACGGACCAGGACGAGCAGTGAGCCCGTCTGATTTGAATAAATTCATATGCATAAATGGGCCGGGCGGGTAAGTCAACTGCAGCTGACAAAATCAACAACCTGGCCTCCATGGCCGGTAATTGAGTCAAAGATTCAGCTCCAAAGATATGCCGCCCAGGTCGATGGTCGATGGTCGCCTCCGTCGCCGCTCGTTGGCCACCAACTTCACGAGTAATTTATCCGCTGCAAATCAGCCCCGGGCCTAATGAAGTTACACACGGCCGGGCTCAGCTGCAGGGGTTGGTTTTACGACGGGTCAGGTGGAGGTGCATTACGGACGTGGACGAGGCGATTGCACACCAGTTGAATGAGTGCGGCTCGATGGACAGCCACTGGCACCTACACACACATGTACATTTATACAGAGCTCTCCTGGCTTTGAAGGGTTTCTGGTCGAAAGAATTCTGGACGAGTGCAGTGGCGACTGCAGGAAATATTTACCAGGGGTTCAGTAAGTCCAGTGACACTCTGAAGTTGTAGAATATTTCTAGTAAATTATAAAGTAAATATTCTTTAATTAGAAGTTGTGGAGAATTTTATTTTTGGTAAATATTTATTGTGTTTACTTATTCATATAAATGTGAAATAAAACCCAATTTGAAATTTATTTAAAGATTAAAATCGTTTTCAAAACCCCCTCTTCGGACTACCTCTGATAGTTGGACAGCCGCCAGGACTGGTCAGACTTCCCCAGGACCTGTTCGAGTACGCTATGCGATAGTCCTTGATTACATCACACCAGAAGCAATCCCGACCGTGTGTGGGTGTGCGTGAACTGGATGCGAGTTGTCCGAGTGTTTGCTTTATTTATGTGCACTAAACAAACAGCCGGGCACGGACATCGTTCCCCCAACGGCTGCCCGGGGCTATGGAGTCCGGCAAATTGAGCAGCCGGCCGCAATTATTTTTACACTGCGCACATGGAGCGAGACTGTGGAGGGGGAGGGAGTCATTTAACACATTCCGCAATTGAACTCGGTGGCGATTGGGACACTGGATCCAGGACATTTCAAATGCAACAACTGGGGTGACTGAAGCTCTTTGTTTGCTGGGAGCTTTATTATACGTAAAGGTTGAACATGAGGGCGTGTTATTACTATTTGCCTATGCGTGACAATAAAATCAGTGGGGAATAGTCAGAGCTTTAACAGCGAAATATACTTTTCTACATTAATTTTTAAATCAATTTATTGATTGAGTTGAGCATGTAACATATAGCAGAGGGGTATCTTTGGGATAAAATCTCTGTGTCGACAAATCTAGGGCACTCAATACCAGATAATTAACTAATTTAATATAATTTATATATTATTCTTTTTTTTCTGTATATCTCTGAAGTATAACAGAAATAAACTTGGAATCAAAAATAAACTTTAACATAAATCAATCAAGATAAACTTGGCCAGTTTTATTAATAATCCTTTAGAAAACTTCCCTCACAGAATTAAGTCGTTCGCCCTGATGAAGCCCTGCCCATGGATGTTTCCTTTGACATTAGCTTGTTGATTTTGTGACCGTTCCCAGTGGCGATGATGATGATGATGATGGGCTCATTCTTGTAAAATCTTATTAACTTTCATTGTTGTTGTCACTGGCGAATCCGGGTCATGTATCAACTGTCACAATGGAGTTCGCCCGGCACGTTCTGCTGCCAAGGCAACCCACATGGGCAACCGAGCTCATCATGCTGCTCACAGTTCATTTGATATTAATACGGACGCTTTCTGGTCAGCTGCTGCTGCTGCTGCTGCTGCTCCTATTGCCGCTGCTACTGATGATGCGCCGTTGCCGCTACATATGTTTTCATTTGTTTGACGCTGATGATGACAACCCTCATCAAAACTTTGCGCCGATGGCCGCTCGATTGCTCGGGCGAGTGGTCAACGGCTGTTGACAGGCCACTTTGACATTGTGTGGGTCCAGCTATCGTCCTGTGTCCTGCGTCCTGTGTGGGTGGGTCTCTGTAATACAGTGATACATAATTAAAAAGTAGAGGCGAGCGGGGGATAAAGGCTAGGGTAACTTTTGATGCCAGTCACAGATACGAGACAGTGATGGCGATTGGTCCTGCTTTGGGATATATTCTATCTACAAGTTAGTATACTT